AATTTATACTAATATTAGTGTTACTATTAGTGCTAGTGTTAGTACTGGTATTAATATTAATGTTAGTATTAATTGTACTGCCAGTGTTAGTATTTATGCTAATTTAGTACTTGTGTTAATACTAGTACTAATATTAGAATTGGAATTAATATTAGTGTTACTATTAGTTAGCATTGGTGTTAATGTTAATATTAGTGTTAGTATTAAAATTAGCGTTAGTTTTAATATCATTGCTAGTATTAGTACTAGTGCTAGTGTTCATATTAGTATTAGTATCTAGTATCTTTGTTTTGAGTAAGGGACAGAACCGTGGTTAGAGGAATACTTCTTGAAAAAAGTGCCTATTCCTGGTGTACACACAGGGTCCTTCTCAAAGTGACCTTCCAATTACCCTTTGGACTAAACAAACACAAGAATATCACAGATTGAGAGTTTGGAAGTACCCTTCAGGTTTCATTTATTCGTTTGTTCATTCAAGTATTTATTAAGTGCCGTGCAGTGGGCACTGTTTTGGGATATGTCGGGATCCAAGACCACCCCTCTCTTTTTACTCCTCTCTTTATACTATTAGGAGACACCTTGTTTCCCAGAGCTAAGGCTCAGCAAGCAAGCTGTGCCCTGAGCTTGGCATAACAACAATCCTTTGCACTCACTCTCTAGATGAATTCTGCTGCAACTGAGTCACAGAACTGATGGTCCTTAAGCTCGGGCAAGCACCAGCAGGCCCAGACATGAAGTCCTACTACGAGTGGACTTTTTGTCACTAGGTAACCTTGCCTCACCACTGTTGCCACACCACCCTGTTTGATTGTTCGTCTAGACACAAACGTATAAATCAAGGTTTAGCCCCACTAGCCTGGGTCTCCCACGACAGGAGGCCCCAGCACATGTGTCTAATTTTTCTCCCCTGGAATGAAGAAAGCTTTTTGCTTTTAACCTGGGTGAGCTACCTGGTATTTTTAGAGTTTACAGTGGTTGCAAAATCTATGTGACTTTTTGGTCATTTGTTGCCAAGAGTTGACAGATACAAAGACAGAATGAGAAATAGCCTTTGCCTTCAAGGACTATTGAGATTATGTTGTTATTGATCCTTTGTTTTAAAAGAGGACCAATGATATCACGAAGTTGTGGTAAAATAGAGGATGATGGATGACATCTTGACTTGCCAGTGAAGCTAGTGATAAGCTTGCCTGCTTCCTAAGTATATGTGAGAGTGTGAACTAATAATTTCATCCCACTTTAAGGAAGTTATGAAACATAAATCAATAAAATTCTCTTTCATTTAGCTCCTGAGCCCCCAAAAGAAACAATTCAATGTTCAATCATTTTCAGTCATGTCTGACTCTTTGTGACCCCAGTTGGGGTTTTCTTGGGAAAGACACTGGAGGCGTTTGCCATTTCCTTCTATAGCTCAATTCACAGAAGAGGAAACTTAGGTAAACAAGGTGAAGTGACTTGCCCAGGGTCACACAGTTACTAACTATCTGAGGCCGGATTCGAACTCACAAAGATGAGCCTTCCTGACTCCAGGCCTGGCACTCTACCCACTGTGCCACCTAGCTACGCATAAAGAAGATCCTAGAATTCTCTAACAGAAACTCTATTTCTTCTATTTCATTCTCTCTCTGTGTGACATACCAATCACTGCCCCTCTCTCCGACGTCTCATTCCCAGTCATGAAACACATTCAAATCAAAAATAGCTATAGTCAGCCGCATTTGTATCTCATTTTAGTTTTCAATATTAATTGAATGGAAATGTAATTGAACTTTAAAAAGCACATAACCTTTGGACTTAATACGATCTCCTAAGCAGAAAGGTAGAGAGAAGAAACAGACAAATGACATATATCAGTTCTCTTGTATTGGTCCACAGATACACTTCTTATGTTGGTATAGGGTTGCTTCCCCAGCCTTGGTGGCAGTAGGCAGCAATGACAGTGCCCTAAGTTCAATGGATGCTCAAATGCTAGTTACCCCACACATTCACTAATGTAGGAGTGCAGTTCAGCACCTATTCTGCAACACCTATAGAATTGTGTGAGAGAATTTCTTGGAGCTCTCAGAAGTTAAGTGACTTGCCCAAGGTCACATAAATGTGGGCTATATATGCCCTGGCTATACACACACACACACACACACACACACACACACACACACACACACACACA